AAAGCTGCTGGAAATCGGTTAATGTCCCAAAGTGCAAGGAGCCAGTTCTTTGTGGGGGAGGAAAAGCAATAATTACACAGAACTTGCAAAGGCATGTGAGGAAGGGAATTAAAGTAGGTCACATCTCCAAACTCTGCAGCCTCTCTGAGGTTTACCAAATGCGTCCACCACCGTCGTTTTAAAAAATACAATTAAAATAAAAATAGCAAGGCGACTGAAGGAAGCAGCACAGCAGAATTCAGCTAGCGCTCGCCTTGCCCTCCTGCCCCTCTTTGATACGGAGAACATCATTTCTGCAACGACAAGCAATAAAAAGGACCTAAACCAGCAGAAACTGAAGTCTCTGAAACCTGTCTACGCCAGCAGTGCTGGGAATGAGAACCTAGGAAAGACAAGGCCTAATTCTGAAACAGCTAAACAGAGTTTCCTTAAAAAAAAAGTAATGATAACAATAAAGACATAGGAAAAGATACAGCAGAGATGTGCATCAACTGGTAATAAATACTTGCCTTTAAAAGTAAAAAAAAAATAAGTTGCTTTTGCCTAACTACAACAGGAGCTCTTGGCTGCGGCGCGCTCCAAAGGCTGGTCTTTATTTAGGGTTTGCCTGTCTTCAGAGCTGTTCCAACTTCACTCGCGAGCAGCTCAAGAAACAGGCTAGYGCCTGCTGCGGAAAGAGGGGCTCTGACTTTGGGGTGCTGAATTCACGAAAATGCTCCTGCCACAGGGCACAACAAGGCAAACCCAAATTCAAACTCCTTCTCCCACTGCAATCAGTCCCAACATTGCTCGAAGGATAATTGTACCCTGCCGGCTCCCTGCCGGAGGAAACAGAGCCCGGATTCCCGCAGACGTCGCCAACACAGGAGCCAGGAGCGCAGCACGCCTGGGGTTAATGACGGCAGACCCAAACCCTGAGCAAAACGGGTGCAAAACACCAGCTTCTTAATCGTTTCAGACATGTTTTGGGTTCCTGTGTCCCTTTCAGTCCTGCGCTTGTTGAACTACACTGAAATAAATTTTCTCTTCTAATTAAACCAGGTGCAGAACTGCAAACAGGCAAGACATAACTTGCCTAAGCGGGTGATGGTTCTTTTAAGAACACACGTTTATATTGCTAAGGTGTTCTCTTGCTTGCAAGAAAAAGTCTCTCATTGCAAAGCTGCAATCCTGAGAATCACAAAATTTTTAACGCTTAAAAAATATGAGACTTCTCGTAAGGAATTTTCCCCCATTAATGATACAAAATAACTACAATTAAGTATTCTCCCCCCATTTCCATGTGTTCCCAAACTAAACATTCATTCTAAGAAAAAACTAATCTGTGAATGTATTTGCATAAAGGCAAACGCCACTTGGAGCCTCGTGCGGCCGGGCTCTGCGGAGCCTGTGCCCTTAACCTCAAAGTACGGACATTTGCTCTTTTTTCCTTCCTTTTTAAACAAAAAAAAATCAATACATTGCTTTGGGTGCTGCACGGAATGTCTCTTATGTCGCTTGCTGTCAGCAAACGCTGTGACAGAGTTAAAACCAGTGACAAACTGTGAGCTGCTGCCAGAGCCCAGTTAAGCATCACCCACTAAAGCGGGGCTCCATCTCAGCTCCTCCTAGGAACCTCCCAAACACACATTTAAGGCCCATTTTAAACTGCTGTGACTTTCACAGGCGATGGAATTAGGCTGTCTCTTGTGCAAAGCCGAAATTAGTCCTTTGAAATTTGACCTAAATTAAAAGTACTAAAACCCACTGGCGCTGCACCCGAGTGGGTGCTCCAAGGCCACTCTGTGCAGAAGAGACTAAATTAGCTGCCCAGCAGAACGATAACACACAACTTGGGTAAGGAAAGGTCAAGGGAGAGCTTGCTATTTATCAAATATATGTCTAAACTAATTATTCAGTTCACAAAGTAACCCTTCATGCCGTGTGTGCGGTCAAAGCCCTTGTGAAATGTTGGCTATCATCAAAGGGCTTCGGAGCCCGGGTGCACAGAAGGAGAATGACTCCGACATACGTACTGGGGTAGATACTACTTCTAAATACTTAACAGCATAAATTCTTTAAGCTCCCTAGAGTAAAAAAAATGGATATATAAGCACTTGATGCAAGATGCAATTTGAACGTTGGCAGTGCCCAGTTTCCTGCGGGTGCTGTTTTTGTGTCACACCACTYACAGTCTCAGATGTCACCACCCGTCACAGCTGAAGGAAGAACACACTGCAAGAGCAATAAACGGGTTCGGGATGCAGCCCGTAGCGAGCAYCCCTTACATCAACACCGACACTGCAAGTCACAGGGGCTCGAGATGCTGTGTCCGGTCACGGGTCAGATCGAGAGCTCTGCTAGCCCAGAGTCTTATAAAAATTGAAGCTTGCCACGAAAGACATCGTTGAGACTGCACGTAACCAAAAATAAAACACTTGGACGCACTGCAGTGTCTGACACATATCGTGTCCTGTATACGTCGACGCAGTTGAATCCCCCGTTGGATAAACATTAATTGTGCTAAAGTACATGTTTAACTGGATACTACGCACAAAATAGTTGCATATATCCCTAGAGTGAGTTGTATTTAGCTAAGAGACAAGAATATGTGTCCACTAGATGTTATATATCGAAAGAGATGAAAATTGAGATGAATCTCGRTCCCTGCTAAGGTTGCCTTCGGAGTCACTGGGACTGTGCAATCAGAGCTCCCATTACCTAACAAGAAAAGATTTAAGGTAGGTCTAGTCCATGGAAAGTTTGGGAAAGGAAATACCACCAGGAATGTGCCAACAGATAGAGACATCAAACAGGGTCTATCAAACATAAGGATCAAAGTATGTCATGAAATGTCAGAGCCCTGTGGACCCTCTGTGCTCTCCAGATGCTGCAGCACCTTCCTGGACGGCTTGTCCTGCTGGAGCACCTCACCCTGCACACCGACCCTCTGCTCACAAATACTGGGAATTTACAAAATTTAATTCAGAAAAAAGAATAAAAAAGGGTTAGCTTTGTCTTTGAAGGACTTTTTCCCAAAGGTTTCTTGTTTTGTTTTCAGCCCAGAGAGCTTGTGGGTGGCAGTGATGAAACGCAGAGAGGGTGATTGTGTAAAAAATCGGTATTTTTTAAAGGGATTTAATGAAGTACATAAAGGAGGTTTTATTTCCCAAATCTCCGATATAAATCCCACACAATTCCCTGTATTTTAAAGCATAAAAGCTCTTATTATACCATTAGCTTGGAAGCTTTTTTCCTCCTTTCTGGTAATGATTCAGGGTTTGCACATCTGAAATTGTTTCATGTAAGTAACATTCCTGCCCAGGGAAGACTTTTTACATCCCCTTTTAACAATTTACACTTTGATAAAACCCAGATTCTACCYGCTGGACATTCATTTTGGAAGAAGTACATTTTTAAGCTGTGCTTTTCAAAATAATAACAGTGAAAAGCAGAGAAAAAAAGATCACTAAGCATAAGTAGAAAATGTTGGTCTTCTACCTGTAAAATACTTCACCAGTCATGCAATCTCATTCTGACTTAGCCCTAAATCTAGGGGACATCCCTGCAAACAGCTCGTCTGAAATCAGAATTATTCACGATTTTGCCGTTTTTCTGAAAAGCCAAAAGGGCGCCAGATGTACAATTAACAAATAAAACAGTAAGTGCTGATGAGATATGGGGTTTTTTTTTGATTCTCATGCAACCTCTAAAAAAAAAAGGAAAAATGAAAAATTTTTGCTATCAACAGTTCCCGTCAATGATAGATGACAATATTACTATACTTTGTTAGGCTTTTTYAGGAATGCTTGCTAGAGAGGATGGTTCATCACCACTAAATAATTCAAGCTCTGCCATCAATAAAAGTGGACTTGGAAAGGATTCTAAAAATGTACTAGCTGGTGGCATCTATTTTTAGAGGCAATGGGCAGAAACGAATAAGTTTTGCATGAAAATTCATTAATCGGAAACAAAGATCTATTTCTGCATGTGAATAGCAAGATGTGTGAAGACCATATTGTCTCCACCATGCTTGTTGGCTAAAAATCGATCTATRGATTATTAATTATTATTAATTATATTGTTTTGGTAATTACTAGAAATGCAAGTGCTCCACCAAGGAGCCAACAGCCACCTTATGGAGGACACCTCGCTTTCCCTGCAAGGTGAAAGCGAAGGAGCTTAGGGAGCAGGAAGGGTCCTCCAAAAGCAGCAACATCCTTCTCATAACGCAGCCAACTCRTGCCAATAAAACAGCAGCCTGTCTTAACCCTTCACAGAAGGGAAGCACGTTGGGAAGCTTGAGTAAAAGACCTACCTACAAAAACACCACCAGAYACAAGCTCAAAGCAGGAGGTTTCGTTGAAACATCTCTTTCAACATAAACGTTTCGGTGAGTCTTTGCCTTCCCAGTAATAAACCCCTATGGAAGCTATTCCGATGCAAACACTTCCACAGCCGGCAATCCACGGTGGGCACTGATGGCTTCGGGACATGAGCAACAGCAGGGAGATTTATAGTAACCAACTACAAACAGCAATAGCGCGGAGACGCTTGTTTTTATTCTCTCAGCAGAGTGCCCAGCAAAGTTAAACAACCGGGATGTGCAATGAGAAATTATCAGCATTTTTCTTCCCCTCTTAACTTAAACATGCAGCTAGACCAACGCTGTCATTTCTGGAGATGCCAACATGCACCCGGGGTGCAAGCACAACACCCTGCTTTTCTTACAGCCCCATTCCTGAAAACTCCTAGGCACACACTGAGATTAAGTGAAGGAATAAGAATCTCAGAAACAAACACGGAGACCACTTGCTTCCATACAGTTAAACATAAACATGCTTGTATTGAACAGAGTCCATATGTAACATGAAGAGTGAAAAAACTTGGAATCATTGAGGGCTAATCTGTTACTTGCCTTATATTTACAAAAGTATATAAAGAAGCTGAATCCTATTTCAGCGATTCAGGCATTTTAAATCCACTCTTATTCCATAATTAAGCATTGCAGGATGATTTACCTTCAGGTTCCAACGTGGCGTCTTCAACGACTAAATTAAACGAAGGTCGAGCGAGGGAAAGTCCAGCCATGGTGACCACCACCAGGCATACAAGGCAACCGGAATCCCAGCTGACCATCTTTTTAGTGTAAATTCCTGGTCCATTTCCATATCTCCATGTGGACGTTAATCCCATCGGAGCACCTCTACAGAAGCATGGGCAGAAAGCGGCGCCTTGGGCCACGGGAACGCGTCCTCGTCCTCGCCGGCAACGTCCTCTGCTGCTGCGGGCGAGAGGGACACGGAGCAGGGTCAGCGACACCATCTCAAACACAAGCTGCGAAACTGCCCAAAGCCCCAAACGGCGGCGAGAGGGGGAGGAGGAGGATGGGAAAAGTGGTTTTCCAGCTTCAGGAATATGTGAAAAGTGAGTGACTTTTCATTTTCTGTTAGCAGCTTCCATCATCACCTGAGGCGTAACCAAGTCCTCCTTGTTTTCACAAAATCACTTCTCAGCACATATTTAGGGAGCTATTTTAATGACAGAAAAATATAAAGCTTAAAGAAAACAAAAGCAGGCACATGTGCAGGCACATAACCTTTAATGCTACAAAATTACCACAATTATACAAATTATATTCTTGTTATTGTTTGAAAGTTTATGTAAGTTTGCCTTGTTTTTCAGTGCTTTTTCCTAAGCAGTCCTACAGCCAACTGAATTTTCAGTAATTCAGTACTTTTCTACAAGGAAAACGATCRAAAAATATTCCCTAGGCTTAGATAATCGGGAAAACTTTATATCACCTGAGGAATTCCATGTCTTCCACACGCTTCCCTCCTTCCACCTTAGCTCAGTGTCCAACTGAATGTCTGAGAGCCCAGTTTGCCTTTGCAGAGGTGCTTCTTAATTAAACTGCATTGCAGACAATTAAAATCTGTATCGAGTTTGATGCAGATTGTGGTTTCACGGGAKATCTCCCCAGCAGGAGTTCTCCCTTCCATAAAACCTCTTCTTCCCTCTTGCCCTCAGCCTTAAAAATGGGAAGGGTGAAACGCAGGGAAAAGGCAAATTTCTCAAAAATCCCAGTCATGGGAATGTGCAGAGCCCTATGGCACCTCCACAGGTGGCCYTCAGGAACACGGACAAATAATTCTCCCCCTTCACAAAGCCAACCCTTAAAAAGTGCGCTCAYATTTTACTAAGCTCTGCCTGGGACCTGCTACATGCAAACCAGGTTCACTGTGCAAAGAGCAGCAATGCTGTGAGGTCTCTCTCATGCTGGATACTCCATACAGTAACTTCTGGAGTCAGTAGAGGTGGATTTTAGAAGACATAAATAAGGCAGCCGAGGAGAAAAATCAGCAGCACTTGGTATTTCTAGTGAAGCCATGAGAGTTCAAGCTGTTTTATTTCACCTCCACTAGTACCAGCTCAATGCTCAGTCCCCTTCCAGCCCACCAGTTAGCAATCACAATTAAATCTGCAGTGGGAACACCACRAAATCACTGCATTTGTGAAGAATATGTCTCGAAAGGAGTTCTGAGCAGGTGCGGGATTGAGGTGAGCTCTACCTGCGTGACTGGTTGGTGGTGGGGAAGGACCTGACAAGCCCTCCTTGGGGACACTGCCACCCCCAAACACCCTCTGATTCACTGGCAGCCACAGTGCTGCGTTTATCCAGATGTAAAGGGGGGAAAAATCCCAATTAAGAGGCTGGATGTAATGTTAATTCAATTTCCACAAATCATCCCGTGAAACCTGATTAAAGGCTAGGAACATAAATGCAAAATTTAATCATAATTTTACAAAATAAAAAGAAAACATACTGGCATGCTAACATATATTCCAGACTGTTCTGCAAACAGCATCAATTCCATTCACATTTCAGCTCCTGGAGACCTTTGGGCTCCATTACAAGCCAATTAARGCACGTAGCTCCTGCCACGGTCCCACGTCCTGACCTGTAGCACAAGGCTCCTTGCCAACACACCTTCTCACCTGGAGATTTTTGACCGTTCCTGCACCTGAACATTCGCCAGCAGATGGAAGAAGAGCTTCTTCACCCACAGGCCAACACAAAAAATCAAAAGCAGCATCTTGCAAAGGGGCAGCAAAACTTCGAGCTCTGCCTCCATCCACGCAACCAAACACCTTCCACCACCACGACAAGTGCCCGTGCTTCGAGGGTTGCCCTTTCCCTCCACAGAAAAACRACGACAAAAAAGTCCAATGGAAAAGCAACAAAATCAAATTCCTCTCATAGCCGAGTGGCCGCAGTTGCTGGGGGACATGTCCCTGGCGAGACCTCCTGCGCGGGGCAATTACGGCGGGCCCTCCGCGCCGCTGCTTGGACCAGAGCCCCACATGCCTCTTGGCCTCCCCAGCGCTGGCTTCCTGACTACAATAATCCCTCCCGGAGCCTCGGCCTCGGCGAGAGCCACACGTAGTGTTTATTTTTCCCCTTGAAAGGGAGCCCTGTCGGAGCGCGCGGCGCGGCGGAGCTGTCAGCCGCCCTGATGGATGCCTCTCCCTGCCACTCGCTCAGCGAGGCAATTTTCACCTCCTCACATACCTGCCCGAATTTCTTTGCCAAACTGACAAGCATGGGAACGCGGACTGGTTTGGGAGCCCGACCAAATTCCTGCAAGCTGCACTTTGCTTTAAGCACACGCACAAACAAGTCGTACTTGTTCGGCGGTGGCATTAATTAAATTCAACGCTCCGTGTTCTTTTTAATCTGCTGCCACTGTTGTCTATAAGATGTTTATCGCTCCCCCGGGAGAGGACGATGTGCAGGGTACATTAACCAGATCTATACGTCGCTTATAAGTCTCCAGAATCTGGAGACAGGGAATAGTAAAATCAGAGCTTCCCGCCCCAAAGCCAACCCAAATGCCCTAACTATAGTCTAATAGCTCCATCAGGAAAAAAAATAAACATCCAGGTACGTGAAGCTTTGAAAACAGCTGTCACACATTTGTATAATCACATGTATGAAAAACAAATATATGTGTGGGGGGGTGTCCACATATACATGTAAAGATAATAAGACTCTGCATCACAGGTCAGTCATCAAGAAGATCTGAGCATCCCAGCTATTAAACATTAATTCTGGGAGACTAATGGGAACCGGCTGGCGGCTTCAGGACTTTTTCATTGTTCAAACTCCTTTCATTTGCTTTCCAGGACTATCCTGTTTTTCTCAAGTCTTTGGCCACTAAGAGATCAGAAAAAAAAAAAATCTGCATTTTAATTGACATTCCAGAGAGAGAGAGAGAGAGAGAAGTCCAGAGGCTGCTGATTGCTGTCTATTCAGCCCAAACAGGCTTTTCACATGAAAATGAGTAAAGGCTAGTGGAAGATTTACAGGGATTTGGTACAAAGGAGACAATGAAGTTTTAAATGTTGATAGCGTTTCACACCAAGCGCATAATGGATCACTGTTTGAACGGGCCGTTTTGCATTTARATATATATTTCGCTGCGGGTCTCGGCCCAACCAAGACCCCCTCCCCACACACACACACACACGCAGAGTTACCCGAGGCGGGCGCCGTCTCGGGCCGCGCGCCCCTCTACCCGCGGAGCTGCCGCTGCCCGTCGGGGCGCGGGGGCCGCGGGGACCGGCCCGGGGGCCGCGGGGACCCGGCGGAGCAGGAGGGGGTCGCTCCCCTCGCACTAAGCCCCCGCGCGAAGGGAAGGCGCCGCCGGCACCGCTGCTGTCACGCCCGCGATGTCCGAGGTGCGGGGGGCACCAAACGGGCGCCGTTTCCCGCCCGCTCCCCCACGGCCGGCGACCGCAGTGACAGAAACGCGCGGCCCCCCGCGCGTCGCCGCGCTCGTCCCGCCGGGCGCCGTTACCTGCTCCGCGGAGCGGGCGCGGGGCGAAGCGGC